AAAAGGAAGAAGGAAGGGAGGGAGGGAGGGAGAGAGAGAGAGAGAGAGAAAGAAAGAAAGGGAAAGAAAGAAAGAAAGGAAGGAAGAGAGATAGATTTTAAAAAGCCACCATCTTGTGGCCCTTGGAAGACCATGGAAAGAACCTTATTTCAGCCATGATTTGTAAATGGGAAATTTTTCAACGGTCTGACTTCCCTGAGCTTTCCAGAGCCTCAATTTGCCCTTGGAAACCCACGTCCAACTGGTCATTTCCCTCTGTAAACACTGCCTCATTGAACTCACTCATTGGAACAGGGGTGTTCCATTCGAACAAAGCCCTTTTAGACTTGGGGCTGAGAGAGCAGTGAGTGGTGCTGAAACTCCCCAGGACAGCCAAGGTTATGTGACTCCCCAGAATCCACCGAGACTCTGGAAACGACCACGAAGAAAGTCTTCTGAATGATTCACTCCAAAGCCCTGGCCCCATTATTCACAGCCACAGTCTTCTACTGTGGGGCCAAGGGAAGTGGGGAAAGGTCCTGAAAGGGTCACAGATATCTGGACAGTGGGAGAGAAGAATCACTCAGGGAACCGTGCTGAGGATGTCTGTACACCCTCCTTCTCAGGGGCGCTCTCCCACTTTCTCCTCTCTCCTTCCTCCTCTCACCTCCCGCTGATTGGCAACAATGTTTATTGATCTTCCATTGCCTGGCAACCTGCTCAGCTTATCTCTTCCCTCCCTCTCACCTCCCTAGTCCGCTTCCTGCCAGGACAAAGGACAGAGAGAAAGAGCCCTCACGGAAGCGCCCACTTCTCAGTGGCTGGGCAAGCCCGCTCCTTCTAGCTCTTTCCCGCCACCGCGCTGGGTGAGTACAGAGTACATTTAGAACAAAGAGGACTCCCAGTTGAAATGTGAAAATTTGAAACATTGATTTATTTTTTTAGTATAAGTATGTCCCAGGCAATATTTGGGACATACTAGACACATAAAAGTTATTTGTTGTTTATCTAAAATTCACATGTAACAGAGCACCCTGTGCTTGACCCGACACCTCTACCAAAGAGACGAGGGCACTTGATCTCCTAGGTGGCAAAGTGGAAGGACCACTGAGCTCAACCTTTTCTAACCAGTTCTCACTCAGATCCTTCGAAATCTTGCCTGCATGGATCAACATATGTTTTCCACGCAGATTTCCCATCTCTCCCAGCTTGTGACCAAATGACCCTCTTCCTTGCCTTGGGGACACCATTCTAACAGTGGACGGATGGGGGTTATGGTGGAGCATGGACCCAGGGAGTGGATGGGGAGTACACTGAGCAAACTGGAGGCACCCACATGATGTGGAGTCTCTACCCTCTGTGGGGTGTTTTCTTACTACGCAGCTCAGTGCTCCACACTCCATGCGCTTTTAATAATGAGAGCAGCTCCCATGAATAAAGCACACGGCGTGTACCACTGTGCCCTACACAGACCATCTCATTTAATCCTCATAATGATCTACAAGAGAAATGCCAATCCTGTGTCCACTTTAAAAGTGAATCTTGAGAAGTGGCACAACCGTGGTTAGATAAGCAGTGAGTGGGACCATAAGGGATCCAAAGTTGGTCCAAACTGGTCTAACCGCAGAGCCATAGAACCCCAGGATGGTACACTAGGAAGGCTCCAGGAATCCCAGAAAGTTAAACACAATAGTCTCCTGTTGATAAGCTCTTATTGGCACCAACGCCAACACTAGTCACTTCTGATGGCATTGCCTTTGCTTACAAACCGTGAGGGCTGGGGTGGGACCTCCCCCATGCCTAGCGCAGTCCTGGTACATGTATCAGGGCAGCTCGGGAAAAAATAATGCTTAAGGAATGAAAGAACTGGTTGTGTAACTTCATGAAATAGAGATTAAGAGAAAGTGACTTGCCAACACCATGCAAAGAGTCAGGGGATGTGCCCTGTGATGTCAGTCCCCTCGCTTTTCCCATAACCAACTCCAGCTGCCACGTCCCCACATGGCATTACTCCTGCTCACCCTTAATCTCTCAGCGATCAGTCCCAGTGACCCTCAAATTGCTCCCCAGAGAGAGCCTCTTGCTCCACCTACAGGACAGCAGGGTGACTGGCTTTCCGAGAAGGGAGCAAGGATGCCCAGGTGCTGACCTGCAGGAAAGGTTGGCCACGTGGCCCAAGCACAGGCACCTCCCCCAAGAAGACCGAATATCAGGCTGCCTACCTAAGACGTTCATGCCGTCCTTGAACTCCAGGCCCTTTTTGATAACCACCTGCATTTCCTCTGGTGCCTCTGTCACAGTCTCATTCAACAGCGAGATGACAGCATTGGTGGCATTGTTGTCCTCGTCTGTTGGAGGGGTCACCAGGACTTTCTTTGTCACTGTTTGAATCTAATGGAGTTGAGGGAAAAACATAAAGATGAGAGGTTTGGGGTAAATGGTCACCAAAAGCCTGGATGCTTACATATTTTTCAATTCCCAATATGCTGAAAATTATTAAGAAAGGCCAAAACAAGGTTATGAAAGCTAAGGAGTATTTTATGCTTGTGTTTGACAAAGTGATGCTTTATGACACAGATACAGTGGGATATGATCATCCTCATCACACAGTAATAACAGGATTTATAATATTCTTTTGTGACATGCTCCAACCAGTGTGATTCGCTAATGGGACCCGTGGAGACAATACCAAAGGTGAGCCCCAGCTGGATGGCCTGCTAGCCCCCGGGATGAGTCCTGGATCTGGTCGGGAATAGGAGGGTGAGGGTCTTGGTGGAGGGCAGATCAGCACCTGATTCGCTCCTCCCCACCTGGTTCCTATCCCACAGTCTTCACAGACCTACCCTCACTTGGCCTCCTTCCAGAGCCCGATTCTGCTGGGCATCTCCATCTGGCTACAAGCAGATGTGCCAGCTGCTGGCAGCCACCATGGCAGGGACATTGGCTCACAGTTCAGATTCAAATGTACGTGAATCCTTCTAGGCAGTGATGTGACAAGAGTTGCTCGACGTTCCCCCAAGCATCTCTGTACAAACAGCCCCGGAAGAAGCGCTCACTCTGTTCCTCGACATCTGGGGCAGCCATCCTATTTTTAAAGGTGCCAGGCATCCTGCATGCAGAGTGCTGTGAAAACTCACATCTGAGCCCAGAAACACTACCTTCTATTAAAACAGAAGTCATGTAGAATCCTAGAATGTCAGTGCCGGCACACAGCAGGCAACAGATGGCTGAAGCCTGAATAGATATGGAAGAGGAAGCGTGGAGAAGTCAAGCGACTTATAAGACGTCACAGATTTACAGCAGAACTGGGACTTCAACTCAGATGGCCTGACCACCACGGAGTTCTTTCACCTGCTTGGCTGCATGATAAAGTATGTGGATGCAATCCTGCTGCAGCTGGGCCTCAAAGTAAGCAAAGCTGAACTGACCAGCCCCCTGAAACGGGAGAAGGGAGGCACAGCCTTCTTTGAGGCGAGGCAGGCACTCTCTGTTCTAACCTGGCCACGTGCACTTGTGCAGGGAGAGAGGCAGCCCCGGCTGAATGGGAACAGGCAGTTCATGGCCCCCTTGGTCTGGGCAACGTTGGCATAGAGAATACAGAAGCGATCGGAAGGGAAGCTTCCGTGAACCACAGAGTCATGCTCCCAGGAACAAAGTGGAGACCAGAAGCCAATTGGAGGCCTATCCTGAGAACGCCTAGAAGTCAAAGCTTGAGTTCAGAGGAGGAATGGCCATGGACCTGAATGAACGGTGGCCTTCAGGGTCAGGTGGCTGTGGGTGGTCGGGTGTTCCGCGTTGGACATCTGCTACCTCCTATGTCATCAGGAGCCCCTCAGGACTCACAAGGCTAAGTAACTAAGCCCAGGACAGACAGCTAGGAATTCCTGAAGCAGGATTCAAAAACAAGGTACGTTTGACTCCAAAATTCAGCTTCTAAAGAGCATGGCCAGTGGCTTGAGTTCAGGGCCGGGAGATGAGGATGCTGACACATGGGCCTGGTTCTCTGCCTGAGTTCTCAGTTCAAGCCTGGTACAACCCCAGTCAGGTTCCAGCTTCAGTCCCAGCCACCAGGGCCTCTCACCTTAAAACCCACAGAAGGCTGCTCCCTGACTTCCCACTTCTCTTCCTGTCTACCTGCCATCCCCAGGGAAGTAGCCACCTGGAGCTCTGTCTCTATCGACAGCTTCCAGATTGATTTTCACAAAATAGAAAAACAGTCATCTCCTTGCTTAAACCTCACTTAGAATACGAACCTGAGTCTGACCCTGGCTGGCCAGGTCCTGCCTGCACTCGCCCCACTCTCTGCACACTGGCCTCCCTTCTCCACTCTGAACACACTAAATACTTACCAACCTCCACAAGCCTGTGCCTCTGGTTGCCCCGGGCAGCAACGTGCAGAGATTGTCCATCCACCAGACAGGTCACCAAGTGTGAGCGTTGCCACCACAAAAGCTCACCCCTAGACCAGAGCAACAGCAGTAGTGCCTGCCTGCTTCTTGGCTCCACCTTACTGACTCAGACGGAAGGGTCTCCTTCCTGCATGGAGCATGGTGATTATGACCAGGCACAGGAGGGAGGCCCAAATCTGTCCCTCCCTCCTCCCTTTCATGCTACCCCATCCCCAGTCTCCTGCCAGCTCAGCCTCCAGCAGCTACAGTTCCAGCACAATCTTTCCAAAATGTTAAGAATAGACTTGGCACTCAGTTGTGTCTATCACTCCAAATCAAGCAAATTCATCTTTTTGAGCAGACTGGCTGACGGACAGCTGCATTATATAGAGAGGGTACCAGTCAGCACCCCCTCCCTAGCCTGTTTCTTTTCATTCTTCATCCAACTTCCCTGTCTGGAATGTTTCCTTTAATACAGCGTCGTGCTGTCAGTGCCTCCGAAGTGGCTTTGGAAATCAGAGGACATACCCCAACACACAGTAAACTGGGCTCTGCAGTGGTTGGCAACAGCATTTTGGGGACAGCTAGGAATGCAGACTTTTCCCCTCTGTGATCTGTTCCCTAAATTTCTCCTTCTGTGATTCCCTGGAAATGGCTGAAGGTGTTTCCCTGGGTCTAGTTTGCTTCCTACAGGGCTAATGGGAACTGAGGTGTATCCTAGCCTAAGCTGGCCTTGGGTCTAGACAACAAGCCGGTGAGTGGGGCCTGGGCAGCTGACTCAGTGGTTCCACTCAGCAGAATCAACTGGTCTTTAAAATCACATGTTACAAAAATTGATATGCCTGTATGCAATCAATATACATTGCTACGAATTCTGCAGGGTCACTTTTGGCAACATCCAGAAAATAATTCAAAATATCAAACTCTTTGGCAGGACATTTTCACTCTGAGGAGTTTATCCTTCAGAAATATTACACAATAATGAAAAAAGAAAAAGGGGATGCTAAAACACCGCTAAATGAAAAAGCAAGGTGCAACACGGTATGTGGAATGCAGTCCCATTTGGGTTGAACTGTTTCCAAGATTATGCACATGTACCCACAGGTATGTGACAAAGAAAAAATACAGGAGGAAACACGGGTAGCTCTAGGGAAGGGAAGTGGGGACTTGAATTTTTACTTTATGTGCATCTATAATCTTTAAACTTCCCACAGTCCTCATGTATTACCCAGAATTTGACAAGTACCGGATTCCTGGGCCCACTCTGGAGATTCAGACGCATGTGTATGTGTATTTTTAAATGTACCACATGTGGTTTTGCTATACTGCTAAGATCCAGAACCACTGGGTACTCTAGAGGGTTGTGGGCAAGGGTGATAAAAATGTGTTCTTGGATGACACAGAGACAAAAACCAAAAAGAATAAAAAGAGACCAAAAAAAAAAAAAAAGAAGAAGAAGAAGAAGAAGAAAGCTCCCAAAGCAAAATGCTACTGAGGGTTCTGCGAAGAAGGAAAGGTTAAAAACCAAACAAAAACTCCTCTGGTCCTGAAGTCCTGCCCCGTACGACCTCATACAATTCCTAGGCAGAGATAATTCAATCTTAAGAAAACGGCTCCCCAGAGCTGATTTGTTGAAACAGTCTCTAAGTTATCACCTTCATGAGTTGGGAGAAGTGAAAATGTCAGAACTCTGAGTTACCTGCTGAAAACAGGCTTGGACAAGGTTTTCAGGGAAGAGGTTTCGAATAAGGTCCAGAAAGGCATCCAGGCTGGACACTTCATCATTCTTCTTTCCAGGCCCCAGCTGCTTCTTGAGTTTGGGGTTCCCTGGGTGGATAGCCAAGACCAGGATGACCCCCAGCACTGCGGCGATGATGGTGGTGGACATGTAATACACCATAGCTCTGGTGCCTAAGCGGCCACTGGCTTTAGCATCCAGGCCCGACAACCCTGGATGGAAAACAAATCCAGAAAGATTAGCTCTATTATTTTACTGTTAACTGTCCACCTCTGCCCACCTATAAACAACCCTTGGCTTTGTATTACTCAGATGCATTCACAGTTAATTTAACCTCCTTCTACTGAATATTTGGTCCATTCCACAGTTTACAAGTCAATTTTCCAAGGATATTTATGAGATTTCTACAGAACTGGGAAGAGTTGGAGATCATCTGGTTCAGAGTTTATAAGCTGGTCAGTGACTACATTTTGTTAGTCTGCAATAGTGAGTTACAGTTGAATGCTATATTCAATTTTTAATTCTGAGATTATGTCCTTTCCTTTTTTTATAAACTGGTAGACTGGTACATGCTAGGTTGGTTGGTTTGTTTCTTTGTTTCTTTTAATGTCTTCACTTAGGAAAATAGAAAGCTGGCAACCCTATGTATTTAAAAGACATTTTTTCCCCAAATGTATTCAAATGTCTTTTGAATACATTACTTGGTCATGAAATCAAGAGTCTGGAAAAGTGATCCAGCACTGCCCTCTCCTTCCCCTGAGGTGAAACTTGATGGAGATCACATTTGTGGACCTCCCGGAAGGATGGGAGAACACTTGCATAAAACACCCAGCGTAGTGGGCGCTTCATCTATATTTCAGGAGCTTCTGGGATTGTTAGCGGAAATACCAAGCAAGTCACAAAAACTCCAGCTTTCACTGGGTTTTTTTCCAGTAGTTTCTTCAATTTTTGTACTTCCTGGTTTCAGTTCCTGCTTTTACGAGACCGAGAGACTGCAGTCCTTTCTGGGTATGTCTTTTTTGTCGTGGGGGAGGAAGTTATTGATGTTAATTTATCTGAATGAAGCTGACCCATATATGACCCACTTGTAAGAACCTAAAGTCTACTTCTAGCCAACGGGAGTGAGATTTCCTCACCAGCTTGGCCAACGTATAATCTGATACACAGGCATGGAGAATGTTTTCTCTGGTTTGAAAATGATCATTTAAAGTGAAACACAGCTTCACTCACTCTGGGGCTAAATGATAAGACCTTCCTGACACTGAGTCCCAGCTCTTTCACTCACTGGGTTCACTGGTCAACCAGCTATGAGACGCTAGAACAATCTGACTTAGCATCTGAGTCTCCTGGAGTTACCAGAGTTTCACTACCTTCGTAAAGTGGACAGTCCAGAGGGACAGCTTTCTCAAGGCCGCTGACCCTGTTGACACCCAGATATAAACCAAAGCCCAGCTTCTGATCCTTAACTCAGGGCTTGGTCTCTAAACTACAATTCCTACCCTGTTTGAATAATATTATCTGATGAAAAGGAAACTACCAGTGTAAGCTCAGCGAGGGAAAAATTCTTTCAACTAAAACAACCAAAAACAAATGAACATGATCTATATACTGAGGGTAACATTCTTCTGAAAAACTCAAAGGCTTGCTTATCTAGGATCTCATTTATGTTTAATACCCACTTCCCTCTGCACTCAAATAGTAAAGAGAAAATTTCCTTTTCTATTTCTTATCATGATTTGTCAGTTTCTGAACAAAATACAATTTAGAAAATGAGAAAAGTAGACATCAAGAATTAAAATCACTACCGATAAGATCACTTTTAATGTGTGGCTATTTCCTTTTCATCTTTTGTTGCTAGACAGACAGATGTACTGACTATAATAGATGGCAAACTCTTTTTTTTTTAAGGGTTGATTATCCCAATTTTAGAGACAGGAAAACCAAGGCTCTGAAGTGAAGTGATACAGACCATCACAGTCATTCATTCAACCAAACTGAGATTCTACAATCCATCCAAAAGCTGGAGCAGGAGCATGATCCTGGCCAGGTGCCAGAGAGGTGACCTTACCTGTGATTAAACTGGAGATGATTAGAGGGAGAATGAGCATTTTTAGCATCCTCATGAGTATATCCCCTGGGAAGGCTATTAACATAACCACATCAGGGTGGATAGGAGATGCCAAGCGAAGAAGCCCTCCACATACTGCCCCCAGGATGACACCTACAAGGAAAAGAGAAAATATGAAGTTATTGTCTGCCTCATCAAATGAATAGCTCTAGCGACTTAGTTCAGTGACGTCAACCTTTCTCATACTTCTCCATTATCAGATGCGAAAACATTTTGTACCGCCAACTATTCTAAAAGATAGCATTGGAAGAGTCAAAGAGAGCCTCCTCAATGGTTATGGGAGTTTATGAGAATTACAACACGGCAACTTGACTCTGACTTCTTTGAGGATGTTGTCCACTTGCAGAGGCAGAGACTGTCAGTAAAAATAATCCACAGTGCCAGATACCGCTTCTCCTCCCTAGGTTGGTTTCGTGACATGGTGTCTGATGTATTTCTCCCCTTTATAACTGAATACCAGATAAAAGGAACATTTAACTGACCAAGCTGGGGTGGGTTTTCTTTTTCCTTCTATTTTCTTTGACTTCCAATAATTTCCCCATGACTCATCCTCGAGAAGATTTCTCTTTGACTTCTATGCCCTTGTACACAATCTTTAGACTTGTTGAGCTCATGGGGGATCAAGGAGGGTCATAAAACATATAATTTGGGAGGAAACCATTTGGGCAGAGAGGCTGGCAGGAGCCCTTCTCTTTGCACACTCAGGGATTGCACCAGAATACGCTGGATTTCTCCATACCGGCAGCCAACATAAACCACCTCTGGAAACCATAAATTGGGTCATAGCACGACGGGTGTAAGGGAGGGACAGAGGTCCCAGGTATATGGCTACAGTGTTAATGCTAGAGATGCTGCAGGAATAATATGGCCGAAAGCCTGATCTTTTTTCCTTCTATGGGAGAAAAACACACTTCTTCAAAACCTATGATGAGTGAAATTTGCTTCTGGGGAGAGTAACCCTTGGAAAACCCAACCAGAACTGTGGTTTTCTTTTATTAAGTGAACTGAGCTGGGGCAAGTTCCCAGGCCTGACTCTAGCCCACTGACATCCAAGCTGATTGACTTAAAGGAGAAGCCACGGAACGGAAGACATGCGCATGTGCATGTGGGTAGGGAGATGGCTCTTTGCTGCTTCTGTGTGTGGCCTGGTGATATCTGAGGAATCAGGAGGGGACTGGGAAAGGAAGCAATGTGGTTGTCACTCCAAGAAACTGCCGTTTTCCCCATTTTCATAAATAAACCCTGGTTGAAAACCCAAGAAGAACTCTGTATGGACAGTCACACAAAAGGACAACCATAGCTTGACTGAGGCCTGAGGCAGGGGAGTAAGGCTTTCCAGGTGGAGCTGGGGCAGATCAAGCCTTCCACACTGATCTCATTAACTCATGTGCTGAATGAATCTAAGTTGATGAGGTGCTTAAAGAAGGTTAGACCTTGGGAGCCCTCTTCGTGGGGGTTTTGGCGACGGTTGCCTCTCTCTGGATGCAGGTATTTCTCTAAATGGGTACACTGGCCCTCTGCTTTGGAATCACCTAGGTTTGTTAAGATGCAGATTCTAGGATCTCACTGCAAATGGCCCAAAGCAGAGTTTCTGTGAGCAGGGCGTGGGAACCTGCATGCTAACATGCCCATGGGAAACAGACATGCATATGGACACCCGAGAACCTCTAGAATCCCAAGGAGGGAAACGAATGGCTGGCGCTGATCTCCTACCAAACACAGTCAGCGTGAGCAGGAGGTTCTTCCCCAGCTTGTCGCACAAGCGCAGCCCCAGATGCCGGTGCTTCGGCTCCTCCGAGCTGAGGTGGCTGTCGTGCATCCGGACTTCCACCTGCTTGGGCATGTTGTTGGCACTAAAACAGAAGTGAAGGCTATGGTTAAAGCCCACTGGGCACTTCCCCTCTGCAGTCTGAGGGGCTCAGGCAGCAGGAGGCAAAACAGCCCTCCCCAGGCACAACTGGGAATCTGGGACCAATGACAGGAAAATTAAAACCCAGAGTATCTCAAGGTACCCTGAATTCCAGTTGGCGTAGAAGCAGGACACTAGGACATATGGAATGCCCACATGCCAAGTGCTTTTATCCCCAGCATCTTGGATCATCTCCGAAAAGGCATCCCACAAGCAGTGGAGCATTTTTCCAAGAGTCGCCCACCAAGGTAACCCCCGAGGCAAGTATCCCCACTCCATTTTACAAAGAATAACCTGCCTGGGGTCACAGGGCTAAAAGGAATGGAGATTCAAACCCACATATGTCTGGCTGCAAAACCTGAGCCCTTTCATTCTTATATCAACAGCAAAAAGATGATCTCTGAATAACGGTCAGGACTTTTAAATAAGGTCAGGAGAGTCACAGCTTAAGTCATGCTAAGTTAAAATGCCTCTGAGCTCAAGCCTTCCCCATCCTGGACACAGGAAAGCCATAAATGCTGGCAGTCCAAGTTTTACCTTCCTTTTGGAAAAGATGGTTTATCTAGTTTTTAAAAAAATTTCAGTCCACTGTGGTTTTTAAAAGGTCACTTGCGTTATCCGGACACAGCTAAGCTGCCCAAGAATCACACTATTCAGCATCAAAAAAGTATGACTTTAAGAAGCATGTGATTACCTTCATCTGTAGATGCGCCCCAGCCCTCATCCAGATAAACCTCACGTGAACCCAAGCTGTGCGAAGACTGCCAATGGAGCCCTTGCCAGGATAATGAGTCCACTGCCTCTTTTTCCAGCTTTGTCATTTCCCAGGCCAATAAAATTTCGAGTTTAAACTTGGGGACTGACACAGGGAGGCCAATTTTTCACTTTGACATCTTTGGAAGGTTTTTCTCAGCTGCCATTTACAATCACTATCATGTGATAAACAAACAGAAGTCTTCAACAACCAGAAAGACAAGCCACAATCTCTGAATAAGTGACAGTGCCTTCCAAGATAGGCGGGTGTCAGCTTCACCCAGATATTCTCGCCACAGACTGGAGAGACCTTCCTGTGGAACCAGCACCAATTTGCGGATGATTTGCAATCACTGTTTTGTGGTTTGGAATCACTGGTTATAATGGAAATAGTGTGGGTTTAGGAATCAGAGTGTGGGATTCAAGTCATGACTCCGTCCCTCGCTCGCTGTGTGGCGTGTAGGAAGAAGGGCTCAAGTCTACCTTGTGGGAGGTGAATGATGATGCTATGGGACTGGCCTGGCACCTGGCACAGGTAGCTCCTTTCTCCAAGGAAGACAGAGAGACAATACCCATCAAGTTCACAATAAGGGTGACATTTAACTTAGGGGACCTACCCAGTGGCACCACCATTTTTTAAAGATACCAAGCTTTTCTTCCAGAGCCTCCGAGTCAAGACCAGGGACCCAATACAACTACTTACTTTTTCATAATAGCCTGTTTAAGAAACTTGCTTCCAAAATGTTTTAAAATTGGGAATCACGTTACATGGTCTGGTGGAATACCCAGATGAAAACTTCAGTCAAAAAACAAGCTTCTCAGTCTCCCCTTAATAAGGCCTAATTTTCTATTCATCTAGTTTGGGGCAACCTCTATCTGGCAGACGTAAGCGTTAATGATCACTCAGACCGTCTGAAAAAGAAAACAGGGCATGAAGCTCACGGCAAGCAGATGGGGCCTTTCTGATCAGCGGGCAGCAACTACCACTTCCTCTCATCTCCGAGTGAAACAGACGGAAAAGTCCTTTTTACAACACAGCAGGGGAAAATGATCAAACTGATCTTTTTAACATGGATAGATCATATTCCTATACTTGCATTAGGATCTTTTCATATTTTTAAACATTCCTCCTGCCAGTAATCTGAAGCTCTGGACCAGGAAATCAAAACAAAGAACGGAGGTCGTAAGTGCTCTAAAATGGTGAATGCATCCATCAGCCAGCCGGCGGCAAAGCTCTATTACCCCCTTGAGATTGTACCCCGCTGCCTTCTGCTTCATTTGAAGCCCTCCTGCCACTGAAGTTAGAATCAGGCACATGGTAGGTATTTAAGTGAGACATTCCAGCAAGATCCATATGATGTAATGAAAAGTGTCAGGCATCAAGAAAGCCACGTCCACGTGAAAACATACAAATATTAAGTTAACTACACACCCGACTCAGCAGTGTGGTTGGATGCCTGTTGGCCACACTTCTTAGCTGCACAAAATTGCCATATGTTTAATGGTTTGTTTTTTAAGCCATGATAAAATGTCCCCAAAGCCTTGAACCAAAACAGCCACATCAAAGTGGCAGCATCAAAATGTCATGAACCCACAAGTATTTATTGAGAAAATGCCTGTGACTTGGCCTCCTGGAATAAAGTGTTCCAGGCTCAGAGGAGTCCCTAACATCCGCACATAGAAGATCATTTTTAAGGTCCATCCGGGCCTCGGTGTGCCTCTGGGGACACAGGGAGTTCCCTAAGAACTCTTCGTAAAGATCTCAGACCAGCCTAAGTGACCACTGCATCCCCCAGAACACAAGGAGAGTCTGAAATGGAGAATATTATGGAACAAAACATTAAATACTGTTGTACAACATAATATAGAGCTGTTTCTAAGCTTTCTATATCTTCAGAAGAACAGATAGGTTTTGTTTGTTTTATTCTTACCATTTGCAATTATCTTTATTCCTACCTATAGTTCTAAAAGGTTTTTTTCCTTTTAATTTTATTAAGATATAACTGACACACATCACCGTATATGTTTAAGGTATACAGCATGAAGATTTTACATACAGCCTTCAGTGATTATCACAGCAAGTTTAGAAAACACCCGTCAACTCGTAGAGGTACAAAATTAAACAAAATGAAAAACAAATTGTTCTTGTGATAAGAACTCTCAGGATTTACTCTCTTAACGACTTTCATATATAACATACAGCAGTGTTAATTCTATTTATCATGTTGTACATCACATCCCAAGATTACATTACATTTGAATAGAAATCTTAGAGGAATGAGGGATCTCCTAAGTGAATCATGCGACTTGTCCAGAGCTTAGCAAATAAATGGAATATACATTATTTGAAAATCTGTTTACCCAAACTAGAGCCTGAAGCTCCCATCAGATGGAACCACGTGTTGGTTTTTAGCATGAGCACTGGTTCAAGTGAATGTCAAGGCAGTAATGCTGGGTCCCATTACCATTATGAATATGGTGGGGTTTCAGTGGCCATCCTAGCCCCCAGCAAGAGAAATGGATACCAGGGAGAGGTGAGCTGGGCACAGGAGAAAGGCCACAACAGCTTACAGATTTGCATCTCTGGCAATGAACAAAAAGGACAAGACCTGATCTGGGTAAGTCCACTGGATGAAATAACACAGGAAGTTATTTCAAGTGTGCACACATCCCCTTATTAATACTCCCTTCTTGCAACTTGTGGCTCTGCAGGCAGAACCAAGCAATAAGGACTTTGAAAGCCCAGGTGCAGCTTGTTATACCAAACCCATCAGGCCAGATGCTCTCTCTCCCACAGTGTTCACCACCTCTATTTCTACGTGAGCGCCTTCTGGATGGAAAATTTAGTAACACAGTTCCTTAACACTGGAAGGTTCCATAAGCCAGCTCTGCCAGATCACTCTCCATTGCTCAACAAAGTAAAGCCATGTGATGGGACCGCTGTTTGGATGATTAAAATCTTGAATGATGAGCCTATAATTTCCTTCAGCCTTAGCCTTTCCATTGAATTATTTAAATAGCTGTTAATTTTGCAGTCGCTGCCCTGTTCTTCCTCACGCAAATCCACGTGAGTCCTGTTTCAAAGGCAAGTTCAGCTTATCCAGCAAAACATCCCTTGTGACTCCAAAGACAACGTGTAATGGGGCTTGTGCAACGTCTGAAACTCTTCTCAGAATCTGCTTTTCATTTGCATTTGAGTTCCCTTGCTCTGCCAAGAGCCTCTAAAAACAGGCTCATTAGATGTGGCACTGGATTCAGATTTCCTGCCTGCATACTTCAGTGTCGCCTTATCTGGCACCAAATTAGTTTTTCCTCCTTCACTGGTTCAATGAGGTGACAACAGAACGTTCCCCAGGGAACCAAAAAGCAATTGGTGTGTTTTTGCCTGGAGGATGTGAAGTCTGTCATGGGCATCACTCATCCAACCCTCTGCTACCCAAGTCCAGAGACCTCAGCAGGCACGGAAGAGACAGTGTCCGGAAATTGCCCTCATGAGGGACACTCACTCAGTCAGACCCTTAAGAATAGAAATAGTGTTTGTTGAGGGGGCTTTCCGCCAAGGTGGTCGGAAAAGAATGCCGGAAATACCAGAGATGTTGGCTCTGAGCACCACAAAGTGATGATTACAGCTGTGGCTGTCCCACATCTGGGATTTCCCTGGCCCCCTGAAGAACACCACCCCTGCAGGGAAAGGGACTGGAACTCTAAAACAGCAGGGAATTTCCGACAACCAGTCCCTCCACCCTTGCTAGATCCTGTAAGACCTGCTTTAACCATGCTGAGGACGCTCTCCGACCAAGAAGGCAGACTCTCTCTCTGACAGCTACTGCATCCTCATCCAGCCAGTGGACGAATGGATCCTAGAGGTTCACGGCCTCCAATCTTCAGTCCCTCTTTCTGTTCACTCTGTCCATTTCCTAGGTCCCAAAAACACTTCCTGGAAAGGTCCTGCCTGTGAACTCCAGACTTCATAAATGAATCATCCTAAGCTTCTTCTTGTGCCAGAGGGTCTGGCTAAAGAGTGCAGTTTACAGTTATTCTGAATCATGACAGGACTGGACCTGCCAATAGACAATGAGATGGGCAGTCAGGAGGTCTGGGTTCTAACGCCAGGGCTGCTGCCGTCTGTGTCAGAAAAAGCACAAATATCAAGTGGAGGGAAAGTTCCCTGACGGTAATCAGCGGACAGAA